CCTCACAAGTGTAACGTCCAGTGTCTTGAACATGAGCATCCTCAATCTGAAAACAAAATCAGGTTATAAGACCAGCTTCTATTTTGTAAGTAATGGGGCTTTTCTGTTGTTATTTGTGAATTCTTATTTTTTATTTGTATTATGGTCATACAACCATTACCCACACCCAACCAACACTTATCAAGATTCAACAATTTGTATTATGGTCATACAACCATTATCCACATCCAACACTTAGCAAGATTCAATAATTTTTGTCTATGTCAAACCTTATTTTAATTTCACTAATATTAGTCACTGAAGGTCCAGAAAGGCCCTTTAACTATAATTCAAATAAAATATCAAAAAAATCACAATTTCTGAATTTGTTATTTAAAGCTTTAAAGTGTATAATCTTTCTACATCCAGGACCTTGTTCAGTAAAATAATACCCTCTTTATGGATTTATTATGTCTCTTCTCCCATAAGGGCTTGTAAACTTCTTCAAGCCAAATGTTATATTCAGTTAGTCTCATCTCCTAGTTAGTACTCAGGTTGGTGCCTGGTAGGTAATTGAATATCAGTAAACATTTTCCATGTATTTATCTGCAGCATGCATTGATATTCATTCATCATCCATTCACTGAACATTCAGCAGCTACTCAGAACCTTGTACCAGGTACTGCGGGTAGAAAATACAAACACGTACAGTGTAACATACGGTTTCTGACTTGAGTTTGCAATCTGGTTGAGAATATAAAGTATTCAAACATAACAATGAACTTAATAATGAAGTATAACTAATAACAGAAGGTAATACAAGAGATTGTAACAAACGGCATGACATGGATTGCCAAGTAACTTCACAGTCAACTGCTAAATCATTCAAAAGAGTTGAATCATGGGAGTTAAAGTTGTCTTTGAAAGAATTTAGTACAGTGCGGGGGGGCCACTACAAGCTTTCATTTCCAGGAGGTCTTCTCTCTATGCCCCTCAGTGGGACCTGCCCCCACTAGGGTGCCCACCTAACCTCCAAAGTGGGGATTCAATGAATGTCAGGGTTGCTTCGCCATGCAGTATCTCTCTCTCCCGGCTTCCCAACCCCTTGGGATCTGTGCTCTGAAGAAATAAACTGCTCTGCTCAGTGAAAACTGCTGACAGTTCTAACCACACATCACTCTCCCCTACCAGTGCTGGGGCCTGTATCCATGTAATTGTTTCCTTCTATCATTCAGTGAGAGTTAAGGTTTGCGCATTCTACCAGCTGCCTTCTAGAACTCTGGGCTCTGCCTCTGAACAGGGGGTGTTTTGTTTTTCCTGTATAGCTCATTGGCTCATCCAAGTTCCCAAACTCAGTGATTCTGGCCTTTCCTTCCTCAATAGTTCCGTTATTTCAGGATCATAATTCGCAAGGTCTCTACCCTCTTGCCTCCAACATACACCTTCACACTCCCTGCCACTTCGTCCCACGTTTCCGCTCTCCTGTGTAAGCTTCCCTGCTTCCTCTGGGCTGACATTCCCATCATCCATTTCTCAAGGCTCTCTTTACTTGCCAGTAATAACCTTCCGTGACCAAGAGGCTGGAAGGTCGAGTGGGTCGCAGCATGGATGTCAAAGCTAAGCTCCTGGGTTCACAAGTCATTTCGGCCATTTAGCAACCGTGGACAGATTACTTGGCCGTTCTTTCAATGTCTCAATAGGATTATTTTGTGAAGATTTTTTTAAACTTTCCTGAATCCTAATTCCTCAGGCTGGCTTTAAATCTTAGCTCTTATTTTACTCAAGTCAACCATGTCAGAATTATTTCCGAATATTCGCTCTGTTAAATTCTCTGTGTTAGCCACAGTAGCTCACTTGCTTTCTTCATCAGGGCTTTCGCCCCATAAAAATGCAAATAGCCTTCCAAGAAGATTCTAGGCAACCACAGCCTTACCTTGTGCTACCCTCCCAAAATGTACCCACTTGGTCATTAACTTAGACTTACAGCACTCACTGCATTTTTGACTGAATGGTCGGAAATTTTTTCCTAAATTTATGTGAAATTAGAAGACACTGGGGGCAGGAAATGCATCTTACACTTTTTGGTGTCCCTACCCAGAGCTCCTAGAATGGGTATATGCTGATTGGTCGAATGGCTGCGGATGAGGCACTCCTAGCAATATTCTTCTCCTAACAGTTTCCCAGAAACATTTTTGGATGGCTTCTGGCTACAAATATGGATAGGAAAATTAAATATTTAAAACTTAAGCCCTAAATGTTAAAAAAAAATATTACAAACCCTCTTGATGAAAGGGTTCCTAGAATTTTATAATATGAAATTGATAGAACAGTTGTAAAGACAGGCAAATTTAATAGGGGTCATACCGAAGCCATGAGCTTACGAGCAATTTAAGAAGAAATAAATGAATCGACAGCCTTACCTTTAACACACTTCCATTTTCAGAGATTCTGAGGCCTGGCTTCTTCAGCAAAGGGCGGCCGTCTTTTAACCAAGTCAGAGTGGGCGCAGGGATAGCATCGCTTTGGCACAGCAGCTCCACAGCCTGGCCGATGAGGGCAGAGACGTTCTGTTCTTCTCCCATGATATTTGGCGGAACTAAGTGAAAGATGGGGTTTCCCTCAGGATCAGGCAGGCCAGCCCACTGCCTGTCATAATTAATCATCGGGATATATATATATACTGGATAACTCCACTGTTTCTTTCAAGATGTAGGATCACGATCATTCTAACACACCCTCCTTGCATCATTTAGTGTAGAATCAAAAGTGTTAAAAAAAAATCACCGATGAACATGCTGCTGTTGAACAAAAATAGTTTTCACCATCTTTTCTCTTTAAAAAAAAGTTTTAGAACAGGAAGTTTTCACCAAGTGGCCATTTAAGAAGCTTCTTGAACTCCATATTACTATTTAAGGTTTTCAAAGGAATAAATCACTCATGAAATATTTTGGAAACAATGGATTACGGCAAATGCATTTTTGATATTTATTTATGTTTTGTTGCAAAAGAAAATAAATTTAATTGGAACAGAGGCAAAATAGAGACACAGAGGGATAAAGGTGAAAGGGATACTCCAGTCCTCCCGAGTCACCCTGTGCAAAACGAAGCCGGTGACAGATAACAGCTTATCTGAAATAACCTCCCTCACTGGTGGCAGAGCCAGGAGTCTTCAGGCTTGCAGTTCAGAGCACTCTGTGGTTTTCCGTGGTACCTTATCGACTCTTTATGGAATAAAAACCATGTGGGATAAATGGCACAATAAAGAACAAACTAAATCAGTGACCAGCTGCACAGCACACTCACGATTACATAAAAAGAGGAAATGATGTGAAATGTTAATGAGATTAAGATTTGAATTCCCTGGCTCGAAGGCTTGTCAGATGCTCAAATGTGTTGTTGGAGAAGTTTAAGGAATCTCCTTCCTTTGGATGTATTAAAAAATAAAGTAAACAGTCATTTGTCTTCGACGGTTGAGGTACAGCCCTGCCAAGAACGGGAGGGTGGGCTCCATAACCTCTCCAAGGACTCCTTCAGGCCTGTATTTATAATAATTCAAATACATACACAAACGAAGGATGAAATCAAGCCTGTTGCTATAAAAAAGGACACTTCAAAATTCACAGAGGCAAACGAAGGATGAAATCAAGCCTGCGGCTATAAAAAAGGACACTTCAAAATTCACAGAGGAGAATTCCCTCGGCCGTTTCTCATGAAGAAATCCCATAACTATTTAGGATGAGGGGAAATTTGTCAGATTTCTCGTTTTTGTTTTGTGTTGTCTTACAGGAAAGGATATGTTTCACTGAAATGACTCTTAAAAAAAACTTTGCAAATGCTTCGGCAGACATAAAATCTTTGTGCTGAAGACTGTCATAGTCCACTAGCCATTGTTCCGGGCTTCACACTGCAGCATGTGGCAAAACGACAATGTAATCAACTTTCACTGTGACAGTGTGTTCTTAGAGCCAGGAGGTTTCTCTGCTACCCTGCCTACTGCAGAGGGAAAGGCATGTGAAATGGACTCAGAGCACTTTCTTGAGCTGTTTCTGGATGCAGGGCAGGTGCCAGAGCTAGAGGAAGGGATGCTGAAGGAAGACGTGCCATGGGCAATGACTGGAACAGGCCAGTGGAGCATTTGTGTAGAGGTGATGCCCCTTCTGCTGAATTTAAGGGCACGCACAGACATCTGGCTCTCGATGAGCTTAAAGTCATCCATGGGGAACACTAACAGGGGGATTGTTTTCAGCATGGGACACAGATAAAAGGTGCACAGCTGGTCCGGTTTCACATGAAAACTACTATAATGTTGGCAAAATCAGCACAATTAGTGCCATTTCCTAAAGTACCATGAAAACAGATACGCTCATGATTCTTAGCACAGAGAGCCCTAAATAGAATAGTTGATTTCAAAGCTTGGAAGTAATTTTGAGTAGTCTGGTCCCAGTGGATAAAATGTGCCGTAACTGTATGAAATTATATTTATCTTAGATTATTTGTAGAATTTACAAAAGAGCATGAATTCTTTTTTTTAAAAAAATCCTCACCCAAGGATATTTTTTCCACTGACTTTTTTTTTTAAGAGAGCGGAGGGGAGGGAGGAGGAGGAGAAAGAGAGGAAGGAAGAGAGAGAGAGAGAGAGAGACAGAAAAGGAGAGAGAGAGAAACAGTGTAGTCAGAGAGACACAATGATTGGTTGCCTCCCACACATGCCTCTGACCAGGGCCAGGGATCAATGGAGAACAATGGAGATACGTGCTCTTGACCAGGAATCAAACCCATGACCCTTTTTGGTCCACAGGACAATGCTCTAATCACTGAGCAAACCGGCCAAGGCAACAAAAGAGAATGAATTCTTTTTTGTTTGTTTTAAAGAGCATGAGTTCTGGATGGCTCTGTGTAGGTGTAAAAGTCAGAAATAATTCAAGAAAACAGAATGCTAATTTATTTTCAAATATTTTTCTTTCAGTTACTTTTCTTTCCATCTAAGTGAGTTAAATTAAGTTCAAAAGGATACCAGGTTTTTTAAATTGAGAGGAAAAATGAAAAAGTAGAGTATTTGTTTCTTAAGGAACATAAAGCAAATCTAATTACAGCCAAGGATATATATTACTGAAACACATCTATTTGTCCTGTCTTTCATTTTCAGCTTTTTGTTTAGTCTGAGAAGAGAAAAGCTTCTACCCTCAGATTCTCAGCTTTCTTAGATGATATCCCTAATTTGCGTTGTGGTTTTGTTGCTTAGGAAGGGGTGTGTTATGTCTGTTTCTCATCCTACGCATTATACTAGTTAAATCTAATTACCAAAATTAGAACTGCCATAGAGTTATATTTGTTGAGGCGCTGGGGAATTGTGTGATCTCTAACAAAGTTCTCTGAGCTTTAGTTTAAAGAAAAGATACTACAGAAATCCAGTTCATTTAAAAACTCAATTCTCTTGTCAGAATATGGTAGGACATACTGTAAATTTATACGAGGAGAAAAAATGTTAATGACCT